TCTCCTCGTAAGCATCATTGAAAAGTTGCAACAAAAAAATTTTAATAATTTTATCAAATCTTTAAGTATCACAGCATTTGAATGAGCTACATGTTCTCAAGTAAAGGTCATTGCATTTTGCAAAGTTCACTTAAGGTGCTCTTAATTAACAGCGTTAATCTTCCAATGCATGAATCGAACCAGATGTGTTTCCAGAAAGAAACACTTAAAAGAAATAAAACTCTATTATTGTTATTCAGACACCAAGATTGCTTTGAAAATTGCCTCTGTGTGTGTGTTTTTATAGCTTTTTTTTTTTTTTTTTTTTTTTTATTTTTTTTTTTTTTTTTTTTTTTTTTTTGAAAATGTGAAATTATTATTTAAAGCTAATTTAATTAGATCAAAACGCATCTTATATCACGAATGACTTGTGTTACTGAACCTGAAAGCATGATATTATGATAATATCTAATACCACCTATTTTTAGGTTCTTTTTATCCCTCACAATGGAATGTCTCTAACACACTCTTAATTGACGTAAATAATAAAAATAAAAAAAAACAATAATTCTTTTTATTTTGAAACCTTCGAAGGTTTGACTCAATATAATATTCTTAATCTATGAACTAACAAATTGTTTTAAGTGCTGTCTATTCAAATACAGAAACTTTAGAACTGAGGCGATAATGACACCTTGGAACACTGCAATCTGGTATTATTACTTCCCTTGTCATCCAGAGTTATCGTTCTTTACGGTGCGTGCGAAGAATTACGAAGTTGGCTTGGAATGTAGCACAAACACAGCTTTACAAGCATTTGTGACCTAGCGAATGAATTTTATAAGGACATTATCTGTTACTGTGTACAATTTTATTACAATGAGTTTATCAGTTTATAATGAAGCATTTAAATTTACCAATATGTCGGCCGCGGTAGCTTTGCATCAAATTTAATTTTAATTTAAAATTTGAATGTTAATTATTTTAATGTGAAATGAGAATCAATAAAATGTCTTTAATTTCAGTGGGACAGTTGTTAACAGTTTTAAAATGAGGTAGATAAATGTACCACCAATATGTCGGCCACAGTAGCATTTCATCAATTTGTTTTTCTTTTTTAATGAGGACGTTAATTATTTTAATGAAAAATAATAAATGTCTTTAATTTCAGCCGGACACAACCTGCGACTGAGCACAATCGTATTTTAATAAATTCATTATTTGAATAATATTATATTTTAATTCTAAAATGTATCGGCATTTTCGGTTTTGATAAGTGTCAATACTAACCACATTCTATCATCTGATCACATCAATGGAAGAAAAATATTTTTTTTTAATTAATTCAAAATGTATGCATTTTATTTCGACTTGTTAAAATTGTTTTGTTTTGGTCAGGCCGATAAAAAATCACAACTTGTCTTCTATATTAATAGAAAGGTGATCTTGGTTTAATTGGTTTAAAAAAAGATTTTACAAGCATATTGATATTGCTGCATTGATTATGAAACTAAAATAATAGAATAAACTGTATAATTATAATTGTAGATTAAGTGGATTTCTCATTTTGATTCTGGCAACATATAATTTGTAAAGTGATTACATGTATCGTTAAATTTTCAGGTGTCATTTTCCAGTCGTCTTTTGATGCACCGCATTCATAGTTAAATGAAATTAATTCTTTGAATCAAATTCTAGTTGTAATCAGTTACGCAATATTATTTTTAAAAGTCATTTTCACACTCAAATATTATCCCCTAGGCCAGCGTTTCCCAAATGCCGGGTTACGCTTGCGACCCAGTACCGAGTCACGAAAAAAATGTTTGGGAAACGCTGCCCTGGACAAACGCGTTTATTTCATACACAGTTGACTGGTAAGATTACATTCAGTTTTCTAACATTGAGGAAAAACCGAAGTGATTGACACGGACACTGCTTTCGGTTTTGAAAACAACTTACTGCATCTATCGGTGATGTCTGTTTGTACGTGTCGAGATACCGTTTCCGTTTCTTGGCGAACACGATGAACAAGGGCAAAAAAGATCTTCTTCAGACTGTGCAGGGCCTATGTATAAAGATATATATATATATATATACATTAACGCCATATGCCTAACCAGTGCCTGTAGGCTGTAGGAGCCTAGTTACTACAGCTGATAATATAGAGATTTTTACGGCGGGCAGACAGATATTTTCTACTAGTTGTGCAATTACATAATACAAATGATACTTCAGGACGCTGCCTTTATGCCCATTTTAATGGCGTCTTGTGTGAGATAAGTTTAAAATATTGATTAAAAATAAATAAATAAATAAATATCATATAAGAAAATGAAATACATATTTGAAAGTTGAAAGCAGTTAAACTATTCGTGTCATTCTATAATGAATCCAAGCCCAAGATCACTGTGGGTAACGGCAATGTTTATACATTGTGATCGAACCAGTTCATTTGGCTTTTATCCAGGAGTTTTATTTTAAGTCTTTGCATTTACTTAATAAATACAATACAGCACTCCTTACTTTTACAGAGAGATTTCATTAAAGACCTCTTCATTACATGTATTGATTTTAAGATAACGTTTCCAGCTTGTCTAAGATTGTAGGCCTATAAGCATTTCCAAATAACTGTATGATAAGCTTTGTTAGATCCAATGATCTATTTACGGACCATATGTATATTTATATTTTAATGTTAGTTTTAAAATAGAAAGCTTGTCATATTACACCATTAGTTACACATCTTAAGGCTAACAACATCATTAGTGATTGTGGTCTACATCAGGAAGAATATCGATACAAGTAATATTTATTTATTTATTTAGGCATTTTTATATAGCGCTTACCTTAAAGCTCTAAGCGCTTTACAATTATTAAAAACATGTCAACTAAGTAAAATAAAAATGAGCCACTAGGATAGTAACTACTATACTATAGAAACAATTAAAATGGCTATAAAACGAGGACACTTTGGCACGATCTGGCCTATACTACAGGATCAACCCGAGACAGAAAATGAGGCAGGGTGCATCACAGGTCATAGGTGGACCTAAACATATGGGTTTAAAGGGACTTTTTGAAAACGGACGAGGTTTCACAATGATGGATATGGAAGGGGAGCTGATTCCAGAACGTGGGCCCATGGAAGTAAAAGGAGCGTTCACCGATGGTCTTAGTTATGGTTCTTGGGATTGAGAGGGTTCTATGGTCAATGGAAGAGCGTAGTTGTCTTGTGGGGATGTAAGGAAGCAATAGTTCAGAGAGATAGACAGGAAAGTGAGGGTCAGTGAACGAGTTGAAGCATAGATTGGCAGACTTGTACTTGATGTGAGAGGATATTGGAAGCCAGTGGAGTTGACGCATGTGTGGTTGAATGTGGTCATGTTTCTTTGATTTAAAAATGAATCTGCATGCAGAGTTCTGTGCCTTCTGAAGTTTGTCTATGTGGTGTTGAGGAATGCCTGCGAGAAGAGTGTTACAGTAGTCAAATTTCAATTGATATAGTTATGTTCCAAACATGGATTTATGATGTATAAGGTAGATCAGCTTTTCCCTAGTGCCAGGCCGAAAAACAGTATCGGCGTAGCAGCCAAATTAACCCCTGAAATTGTCTGCGCTCATCGCTAACCTTTCTCTTCACAGCAGGTTTTGAGAAAGACATGACTGGGGTCGGGTGACAAAATATTTATTTGCCCTGTTTGATAAAATATATTTCCCTCCACTCGGTAACGCTCCCAAATCATGTTTCATGAGACCAGGCTGAAAGGCTCGGACTTTCCGACATTCGGCACTGGTACACATTAGCGGCAACTAGGCATTGTTTGATACTGAGTCAGATCGCTGCTATTTACGCAGTTCGATGTGTGTTTTCTCAAAACCGCACTTTGGCCGCCATGTTTGGCTCATAAAATGCTATCAAATAAAACATTTTAGTCCGATTTTCAAACGGTTTTTACCAATATAATCAACGTGCAAAGCCTGTATGTATTTATATAAACATCATAAAAATCAGAATTCAAACTAGTCGGCGCGATTCGACCAAAATCGTCGCCGGGGGTCACATTAGAGATATGAGAATGTGGACAACGCGCGGGCAGCATTAATTACTAAACTTTGATGTCAGGTGGCGGGCCACAATTACCCCGCGGGCCGCGAGTTTGAGACCCCTGCACTACATCCTGAGCTTAGTCAACATGCCTAGCAGCGATCGGATTTTTTTCTTGGCTAATTTTTTTTAAAATTACAACTTTTGTGATAAGGGGCTTAGGACCAAACTTTCCAGGAACTTTATATAGGTCATGAGGAATGACCATGTCAAATTTCTTTGTGATCCATTGTTTGATTTACTTGTGATTGATCGACCAACTTGCAAACAAACATAGTCACACTGAGCTTTCTTTAGTATATATTTATTTATTTATTTGTTCGCTATTCACATTATGCCACAGTTGAGTTTCGACCCATATTTCCTGACATAAAGATGGCTTAGATGAACCATGCGACCAATAATATTAATCAAAGTTTTTAAGAAATAAAAAGCTGGAGAAAAAAAAAAGGGGGGGGGGTGGACATCGAGAGTTCATTTGTTAATGTGGGGGCTCTATTTCTTAAAGTTTAATTGTGGGGAAAGGGGTGCAATTGGGCACTGAAGTCTGAGCAGTCTTAGATGAACCATGCGACCAATAATATTAATCAAAGTTTTTAAGAAATAAAAAGCTGGAGAAAAAAAAAAGGGGGGGGGGGTGCACATCGAGAGTTCATTTGTTAATGTGGGGGCTCTATTTCTTAAAGTTTAATTGTGGGGAAAGGGGTGAAATTGGGCACTGAAGTCTGGGCAGCAGTATCAATTCATCTGGGAGACGAAGTGACATTATTGTAGGTTTGAGTTGCCAACCGCGATTGCACAGTTTATATTGAACTACAAACGTCACATCCGGGTATTTTTCCCGAAACCACCCAAAGATCAATATCGAAATCAATGATAAGAATAAACGATCGCAGATAACATTTAAACGAGCGCACTCGAACTGGAATCATGTCAAAACGACCTAAGTTCATTAACACTCGTAAGTCTTTATAATTTATTTATGAATTTATTAGATGTATGCTGCATACACTTTAAGTACGCATATCATCGTCTTCCTCAATAAACTGAATTGTTTGTGTGTTGCTTTTTAAAGGGCCAAGCTCAGGGCTCTCAATACAAGGGGTTTAAGTGACTCGTGTAGCCCAAATGACCTATCCAAGATGTTCGATGTAAAATCAGGAGTCACAAAGGAATGCGCTCTATCGCCATTGCTGTTCAATTGACAAAGACAAAGTAACAAAGGATGGCAATCTGAAGCCCGTGGCACTCAAGGAATTGCTATTTGTAGAAGTGTAGCAAAGCATTCTTAAAAGCCTACGAGTTGAATTAAACGTAGACGAAACATATTTATGTTTTATCTGTATTAATTTTTGAAAATATTTTCCGCACAGAATTTCTTTGTGTAAAGCATTTTTTTAAAGGCTGCGACTATTCGCAAGCGGGTACCAGAAGTGAAAGGTTGGGATTTAAAAAAAAATTTAAAACATTAATGTTGGGTTTTTAGGCAAAATGAGATATCACATGAAAGATAATTGAATGGACTATATGTTTGTAAAATTACTTCTTCTGTTTAACTAAAATAAAAGACAAAAGACATCCGAATAGCATTTTGTCTAATGGGACCCGGGTGCGAATGGCGGCGCTGCGTGTCCGCTCTATCGGATTTGCTGATGGAAGCTTTCCCCGCCCGAGGACGTACGCTTGACCTTAAACGCTGCGTTTGAAGCGTTCGCAGCCAACTCTAACAGGGAGTCAGGATTGTAAATGTTCGTCCTAATATCTTCCCCCTCCCATCCCGGGGAAGTGTCAGACGCCCTATAAGAGGGTTTCTAGAGTGGGTTTCCACCACGCAACTATTTTGCGAAGTAGCTTGGACGAAACGGTTGCCTAGGAGGGCTGCTTATTTCTCAGGGCTGCGTATTTAGAATCTTTGCCAAAAGCTTCCACCTTAGCCTCTTGCCTCATATCTAATAGTGGCAATTTGTAATCATGATCCATACTCTGATCCCTGCCTTTAGTTCCAACTGTGAAGCGTCACAGTTGGCAACCCTGTAGGTGATCGCTTTATTCTGGCAGGTACCATGCATTCCTCTTGTCTGCCCACAAGGGATACGCAATGGTGGTCTTGTTACCCGGGTAACGTCGGGGTGGGGGGGTCTGGTGGCCGACGCCTCAAAATCTGCAAGCCACCACAGACTTGTCACCCGGATCCCCGGGGAGGTGCTAGAAGGGATAAACCGCGATCAACTGAGCGAGAGTTTCTCGTGTGAAAACAAAAAAACTGTGCTATAAGGTTACAAACCGAATGGATTTGTGAATAGAAAGAAAGCCTTTCAAAAATTGCTTAAGGAGATAGGAATAAGATAAGATAACCAATATTGGTATAAATAGTGAAATGGTTTTTCTTTATATTCAAAATATTTGTTTTTAGCATATTGATCAGTGTTCTTACCGAGACAATATTTTATAACTATTAAAATTTAAACAAAAGACATCTAAGGTGCTTCTCACCAGCCCCAAAATACAATAAAACGTCAGTCCCTTAGTGACAACATGGGCTTTAAAATCGATTATTCTGACAGTTTGAGGGACAAATGAACCTTTAAATCTTTAGGTTCTAGTTTTGAGTGTTTGTGGCAAAATATTGAGTGTAGCATGAAAAACAATCCCTAGAACTAACGGGAAGCAAAAAATTCAGGCCCTCTTAGAACATGGACCTGAAAGAACTGGAAAAGCTGTGAGCAAAAGCTTGGGAAAAGGCGGTGAAAAAGAAAACGCCTGCAACTCATGCAGAATGTAATCGACTAACGGCCGAAGTCCAAACTATGGTCCAAAAAAGGCGAAACAATAACAATGGGACAATGCGTGGGAAAATCTTGACCACACGGACAGAAAAGAGTTATGGCGCCAACTAGGTAATCTCTTTGGAAAAAAAAAAGTTATCAAACGGGAATGTCTTAAAAGAGAGGACACCTACATGAGACTGCCCTAAGTTGCACGCTAATCCTTGCAAATGTAAACGACCTGCAAGAAGAGTTGGAACGCCGAATGCTATATTTTTGGATGATCCAGTGATCTAGAGCTCGGTAAAGACGTGAAACCACTGCAAATTTGGCTGCAAAACAACAGCGACAGAACAGAGGTCAAGCGGCCAGGTGGAATGTCGTCGTTAATACGGAAAGGGAAAAATGGACGAACAATCTTGGGAAATACTTAGCATGGGACAAGACTCCAATATACCTGGGAGGGAAGATGGGTCAGGAGCTCCACTTCCAGAACCACGTACACGAACTGTGTGTCAAAACTGCGTTTAAGCTAAACTTGGTGCCAAAGCTTGCTTGCACCGACTGGAGAGTGGAGACCAGACTCCTAAGCGCTCTATAATCTGGGAGTGTGAGGGAAGCAATGGCTTACAGCCTCAATGCACAGGCCTTTGCAAGCCGCACGGCCCTGGAATATCTGGTCCGCATTCAGAATCAAGCCGTAAGATTCGTATGCATGCGTTACGCACAACCCCAAAGGCCGCAGTAGAAAAATAACTGATGTAGAACCGCCCAAGTTAAGAAGGCAAAAAACAATCATTACAACGGTAGAACAATACCGGAGTCTGGATAGAATGTAACCCTGCTTCCAATTTCAAGATCGATGGGTAAAACGGATCGGACCAAGCTTAAACGACCCTCCCTTATGGTCTTGTTCAACGCACAAAAAAGCCTCACCATACCCGTGACTATGGAACAATTGCGGCTGATCCTGGCACGGGGTCATCACGAAAGCTTTAACCTTCCTGATATACGTCTGACTCTGGCAAATACTGCTGTCACAAAAGCCAATCTTCCAGCAGAACCTCAGGGAGGAACCGCTAAAAATGATCGATGCCTACTCGGACCAAATGCTAAACGTCTTCGAAGATGGTTTCTGCTTCGCCAACAAAAACTACTGCGGCTAAGGCGCACTCATACAGTACCTAGGAGGGGTATCTAAACCGAGAATTTATCAGGGCCCAGTGGCAAGAATGGAACCAGCCTCGATGCTGAACTAAAAACAATACTGGCCGCTCTAAAAAAGTGCTTAATTAGACAAAATCTCACATCCCCCCCCCCCTGATATTGTGGTCTTACCGACTCGCACTTTGCTCTAGGAAGCCCTACCGACAAGACTGACGTAAGGACCCAATCTGTCGACACTGTGGCCTGACTGCTGAAACGGTAGCACCTGTGGTTTATTTGCCCCGACAATGGAGGCGAGGCCTGTGTTAATGTTTTTATTTACGACAATGCCCACCAGATGAGGCAAGCTGTTGTCAGAAAAGCCAGGGCAATAGGAGCGTAAGCTCGGCCCCACAAGAAAATGTGAAGTATTTAATACTTCAAAGGAAGTTTGTTTAGTTTGTGGGATATAACTAGCTTTAATGATTAGTCTATCGCCATACCTCCATGGAACGCTGAATTTCAGTAAGCTTCTGATTGTTTTAATATAGAATGATTCTAATTTGTTTGTTAAAGCCAAAATTGTTTACTTTTTGGGATAGAAAATTGTTTGGTGGAAATTTGTAAATATTGACTTGGGCTATAGCCACATCAATGGCAGTTTTTTTTTACTAACGGTAACATCTTGGTAATTATGTGTCTACTTGCTCTAGAGTGAGGTTGATGAACTGAGCACCTCTCCCTCACTCTAAAACAAACTACAGCCAAAGTCAAGGCTACTACTCAAGTCAACCCTTGATCATCTTCGCATCAACTATATGTATTATATTTATACTGTGATTTTTTTTTATTGAGGGGTCTTCAATTGGTTGAGCTCCAACCAGAAATTTAACAACATTTCTTTGGTTTTTGAGACATTCAACTTTAGAAAATTTTCATCACACTAACGGATCAAGCGTGCAACTAAGTTGTGTTATAAGCATTCCGCTTCAGATAATAAGGCAATATTGGTGGTATGCATAGCAAATTTCATTATTGCATCATTGTGGATACATGGGTATATATAGTAGACAGGGCAGTAGAAAGAACACAACATTTTGGCACTTCGGAACTTATTTCTCTTGTTTCAGCTTGACATATTGACACAAGAAAGCAAGGAACAAATGGAGTCAGCTACCAAAAATAGCCCCACACTGAAAACATCAAAAAATAAAGATGGAGACCAATGCCAGGCTTATTTACACCGTCTTTATTCCAACGCTTACTTACCACAGTCAGACCTTGGCTCTGATGAACAGCCATGATTGCAAGATACTCACTTGTGAGGTGTTTAAGGCGAGCAGCTGATAGAACAACAACCACATTCGGAACCAGGAAATAAATCTAACAATTGATGCCGGCCCAATAAGCCAGTGTATGACACGACAGCAAATTAATTTGTTTGGTCACATGGTCAAACCAACAGACTTAGGAGGTTTACAATAGCGGGCACTCCGGTTTCAGAGCCAGCTGTTTCAGGGCCATCTATGGATCGACTGTATTGAGGACACCACTACATGAACCTGAAGCAAGGGGCATAACTAGCAGCAGATTGCCAACCGTAACTGGCCGTCCCGCCTCCCCCCGGCAAAGCCAACACCAAGCGAGTTGGCCCGGGCTTTAACAAAACACATCGATAATAACAGAACTCGTTTTTTGTTGTGAGCTTTCCTTTTGTTATCATCAATTTAGAATCTGCATAAAAAGCTACATTATTTTTTTTTTCCTGTACTGATGCAAACGTTACAGCAGACTTAACTTTCTTCGCTTAATACATCGTACATTATGTGGGTATGAACAAAAGAAAGTTTTGTAAATCGTATCAATTTTGTTTTTTTTTAAATTATGCTTTGATACATTATTTTAACTGCATACGTTTCGTTAATGGTCACGCTTAAATACTTTCCCCTTATTTATGAACTCTGGACAACAACAAAACAGAACAAGGGGGAGAAACTTCTGAACGGCCATCAAAACAAGAAAAGTCTCTGTCACAAGGGGCAGGACCTTTCCCTAAACATGAATCAGATACAGAACAAGGGGGAGAAGCATGTGAACAGCAATCAAAACAAAAAAATATTCTATCAGAAGAAGAAGCAGGACCTTTCCTTAAACATGAATCAGACAATGAACTCGTGCCTGCAAAAGAAAGGGCCAAAACTCGTAAGTACTATTCTATTTTATCTGAATTATACCTTAAACAAAATAATTTATAGCAATTTTTTGTTAATGTATATCATTGCAAGGTTATTTATATTTAGCTTCTTTTTATTAAGCACTTTTAAAATAAACCAACAACATCTACAAAAATAATTTAATCACACATAAAATATATTTCGATGTAAATATATGCACACATTGATTACTATTTAACCAAACAGTATAATAATGTAATATTAAATCCTTTATATTAAATTCACGTTTGTTTGTTTAGGTCAAAATCATTTGACGCCCAACTGACCCATTTCCCGTTAACCTGTCAAGCTGAAACTTAGCACATAAACTCATTGCCAAAGACAACCCATTATATACAATTTTCAGCCCCACCCCAAAATTCAAAATCAGTTTTTTTCCAACGTTTCATCGAAAAAAAACAACTAAATGCGATGACACTGATTTCACAAAATTAAATTCCCGATAACTGAGTTGAATGAGATCCTTTTTTCCCCCACGGGTGTCCATCAAACTTTTAATCATTTATAATCTGATGTTATTTTATCTTACCCCATACGCCAGGAGAAATGCTCTAGGCATGTTTATCACTGTGTATAACGAGGGACACCACGAATCGAATTAGTGGGGAACTATTGCCTTAAAATTATCCACGAACGAATCATTAAATATCACTGAATCCTTAAATGGGATAATCGAAAAGGAGAAGATTTCCATTTTAAAGGGGAGTCGACTTTTTCGTTTGTTTTTTTTTTGTTGTTGTTGTTTTTTGTTGTTTTTTGTTGTTTTTTTAAATAATAAATTCATGTTTATCACAACACTAATAATATAGAATGTCCTCAGAACTATAAAAATAGTTTTTTGGTGAATGGTCAAGAGGTGGCTTTGACTAAATGAATAAATTAGCAGAAGCACCGTGTCCACTAGAACTAAATTCTATGGGTTTTTTTTATTACGATAAGAATCATGAAGATTTTCAACTATAACAAGCAATATGGTTTTGGAGAGGTGTGGGGAATTTAAAAACAAATATGGCGTGGGGGAGGGATGTCCCCCTGTAGCCATTAAATATTTTTATTGTTATTATTAGGTGGGGTTTTTTTATAGCACAGTACCCCACCCCAGAGCTAGGCTCACTGTGCTTCACATAAAAATTAGCAATTACATTATCGTATACATTTAAAACAATAATGGCTGAAAAGATTGACCTCACCCACCCAAGTAACATCTACCCCTATCTCGCCATGGACAGAACCCAGCAGAATCGAGCGTTGTTTATCAGTCAGGTGGGGTGAAAATGTGTCTATAGAGTTCAGTTTGAAGAGATGGGTCTTGATGGCAGTTTTAAAAGCGTGGATGTTCATTATATTTTTGATGTGTAATGGGGGAGAATGCCATTGTTTTTTGGGGCACAGAAAGGGAAAGATCGTTCACCATGTTTTATAGTGCGTGTCCTGGGAACAGAAAAACACGCATATCTGCCGAGGAATAAAGCTTTCGAAGGAGTGAATAGACAGTAATTAGTTCAGTAAGATAGGAAGGGTAGGAACCAGAGAAAAATTTGGGACACAGAACAGACAGCGTGTAATTAATGAGTGCCTGTAAAGGGATATAATGAAGTGAGTGAAGTAACGGAGTGGCCTGTTTGGGGTTTCTTTGCCCTTAAGAACTAACATAGCAGCTGACGTTTGGTGCGTAATATTTTCCTTTTTTCCCTGGAATAGTTAAATATATTTGCGTTTTAATAGTGGGTAAGTCATTAGGATATTTAATAAAATTCAGGGGCGTGAAAAGATGTGTGGTTGCAAACCTTGGGTGGAAGGGGGGAGGGGAGCATTAATTTTGATTCTTATTTAGTGCATTTACCCTAACTTGTTCTTTATATATTATTCGCTTGACTTGAACCATCTCTCTACTTTTAAAGTTTCTTTTCATGACCATTACAAATCAAATAAAGCGAGTGGCAGAGAACTTGAAGAAACCGTGATTAATGCATCAGATGCAAGCATTATGAATAAACATTGTACGAAGACGCCATCAAAGAGCTTAGAATTCCAGGTAAATTAAATCAAGATTCATGTAAATTGTATTCCAAAGGAAGTTGCATCATTGCGCCAATGAAGGCGAATAAGCCTCAAAACCAATCGATTTCAAACTCATCAAGGGGTCATACCTAGTAGATAGATATAACCGGGTAGATTGGAATAATTTGCACAGCAACTAAGCAAATGTTTTCTTTTTTTTCGCTGTAAATGCATCTCAAAATGAAAAGAGCAAATAGAAATTCTAGAAAGTTTAAATGGATTTTGAAAATGTCAGAAAGACCTTAACAATTTTTTGGAGAGTAGGCTTTTGGAAATTGTTTAAATTTCTAGAAAATTTCAACATTTCGTTTGTTTCTGATAATTATTAAAATTCGTATATTTTTCTATAAATAATGCAAGGTAACCTTAATTTAAAATTTCTTCAAATGGCGAAAGTGGGGTTTAAGAAGATTTTGTGTTTTTAGAAAGTTAAAGAACATTTTCTGAGGTTGAATAATATGACGGGAATGTCAAATGATTGATTAATAATGCTATATACACCTTTGTGAATTTCTATAGGGTGATAGTAGATAATTAATAAGTTCATGTGTTTCACTACTTTCGAATAATTGGTTTTTTTAAAAAGCGACGTCATATAACTTGGTTTCTTGATAAGGTTATTTCATCGGCACATCTGATTTCACCTCTGTTTTTAAATTATGTGAAATTACAAAAAAAAAAAAAAACTAAAATCAATAGCCATCACATTATGATCAAAAAGAGTGTGATTTGTGCGGTTTTAGGTTGCTCATCACAACTCTTACGTAACTTTATTGTGGTGATAAAAGGCGTCGTTAAAAATCGACAAAATAGTTACAAAACACAGTCCAAATAAAATAATTAGGGGTGATCTTTTTTGTCGTAAATACAATTAGTAGTTCTTAAATTAAAAATCATTACTGGCATCTAATCATTAAATAGGAAGAAAGGGTATGAGGCAAGAGAGAGNTTTTTTTTTTTTAAATAATGTTAGCCTAGCAATAACAAACTAATACAATTTCAATTTTAGCCCGATAATTCTTCGCATTTTTTTATCAAAGTATTTGACCAAATCCAGGGATTTATTTAGATAAATTAATTTTTAGCAGCCACATTATTGTTTTTTTTTTTTTTGGATTTAAGTTATAAAATTGGTTCCCATTGTGCTGCTCGGTGGCTTTTGTGTAAAAAAAAAGAAAATGTATATTTTTTCCGAAATTAAGGAAACTAGTTCTAATTACACAAACTACACAAACGCCTGGTGTTGTCTAGGGCGTTATCTTTTCCTCCTTTGTAATTGGTCCAAATTTCAAATATTTATTTCGTAACTGGATGAATTCAAAAGCCGGGGATTTACCCCCCCCCCCAACCTCCCGTTTTAGGTTGGAAATAGCTGCTTACTTTTTCTCCTATCTAGACGCCCCTGGTAGCAAATAGTTGGGGGTATTTTATGGTAGTGAAGGGGATGGGAAAGATGATTTATTTGGTGTTTTTTTTGGAGGGATGCATTTTTTTTTTTTAATCGCGTCGGGAGTGTGGGCTTAAGAGGTAGCGGGATTTGAAAAGGGGGGCTTTACCAGGAAACTACAATATTTAAATTCACGTCTCTTGTTTAAAATTTATATCAATAAGAAAAATAAAAGAGACTCACAAGACTAGATTATGTTATAATAAACAGTATGAAGTCTGAAAATACCTTTTTTTTGTTCATTACGGCAGCGAAATGGTTGTTAACTTATTTGTATATCAACACTGGTCTTATCTATTTCTAAAAATAAAACCTAGTCCCCAATGGTACAAAAGCAACGTAGACCACTGACTCATCGAAACTGCTACCCCTATCCCCCATTTGTGAAAGAGGACTCAGATGATGATGACGATGGTAACACAAGTGAAGAAAATGTAAATTCCAATAAAAAGGGTAAGTAATTTAGAGTATGAAAGAAAGTTCATAAGTTCCTTTTTTCTTCGTAACTTCAAAGTTGATCGTTACTTTGTTCCGTTATGTTTTCTTATATCTGGCAGCGAATATGGTTAACATTACTAAACTGGTGAAATTTCTATTCGATTTTTTAACAACATTTTTTAATGTCTTCTCTCAAATTGAAATTTTATTTCCTGTTATAACTGACTTGATTAATAATTTTTTTTTTTTCAATCTGGGAATCTTTGCAATTTTTTTTAAAATGGCGTATCGTTGTTTGTCAGTTATTTCCAGTGGGATGTATCGAACACATGTGGCACCCTGACTAGAACTAAAATAGTTGACCACCCACCCACCCCCCCCCCACATAAAAATATCAAAAAATAAAAATAATCAAGGTCTGAGAAACCAATTATTGAATATTAAATATTTGGAGTAGAAATAAACTCAGGTTAAAAATAGATAGCTACTCGTATAACAACATTGTTATTCTTTTCAACAAAAAACGATTATTTTATCAAGGGAACAATAATTTTATTCCGTCTCGCCTACGTTGCACCCTCCTACCTTTCAAGAAGCGCCCAAGGCTGGTACCATGTCCTGACACACCCTTGGTATGCCTCTGATTTCAAAGCCATCTTATGCTGCAAAATCAATGTTATCATAGGCACATAAATTTAATCCAAGTGCTCAAATCTAAGATAACTGGTTTATTTTGATACGAAATGAAGAAAAAGAAAAAAAAATAAATACTTAAAAAATGTTGTTACCAAGCATATGTCAAATGTTACAGCAGGGTTCATGATTTGAAATGTCTTTATTAATTCAGACATTTACACTTATTAAAAATCTTTCTCTAAATATTTTAACATTGTTAACAAAAAAAAAAAAACAAAAAAAAAAAAAAAACAAAAAAAAAAAAAATCATTAGTATCTTGCGTGACAGCATAAGCCAAATTAGATTAATCAGATATTTTTTTTTAAGTTCAATTTATTCATATTTTAAAATTTCCTTTATGGTTCGGTCCATTAATTAAAAAAAAAATATCATAGTTGTTTATTAAAAATTCAGCCAGGAAAATTTATAATAAGTCTTCAAATTTCCAGTTTTGCATTATATGAAATCCTTAAGATTTTGGGGGGTATCTTTCCGTCTTCATAAGATAATTTTGTAATTTCTGTAATATAGAGTCTTTCTATAATGGATTATGGGGACCATCTAGGATGGCAATCTCTGGATACACTTCCTTTTAAGATATTGGATTGCAAAAAATGGCAACTGCAAAAATAGTGGTATTTAATTTATTTCTTGAAACTCATCCGATCATAAGAGCTACAGCTAAAAAGTATTATCTTTCACTCCGTGTAGAACCATTTGACATAATATTATTTAGACATATGAACAGTGTAATAATTTGTGAAATTTTTAATAACATAATAGGGGTTCATATAAGACACTTTAGTGACATTGTATGCAATAAAGTTTACAATGCATGTCCATTGATGGAAAATTTGTATAAGTAATTCAATCTATCTTAGCTTGAAAAATGTAAGTAACTTTAGGAACATAAAAGGGATTTTTAAAGTCTTGTTGCATCGATAATTGCTACAGGTAAATTAATCAAACTTTCTAAACATTACAATAGATTTAGGCCTATATTTTAACAAAAACAGCTTAGCATTGGCGATAAATTGGAATTTTTTAAATCTGTCTTCTCTTCACTTCTAAATGAAGTTCCTAGTGGAGGTCTTCGGCGTAGTGAAACATACTCAGGGGACTTCAAAACTCACGTATGTTACTAAATATTACTTTTAATTTTATTTAAATGGAACGGCGCTTTTTAGTGCTTTACAACAGTGGTCAGCCCTTGCATGAAAAACATGTCATTGCATCTTTAGCTTGTTTATCAAGTTAAAATTTTATATAGCTAAAAATTACTTTAATTCACACTCATTAAATTTGTTAAAATGATGTAATAACCAGTCAATTTTTAGGATAAAAATTTAAATAGAGAAAACATGATTGTTGACGTCAACTAATCTAACCCCCCCCCTCTCCCTTGTCAACAATTGTCAAACATTTCCAGTCCCCCTCCCCCCATTTTGTTGACATAATTAATGTACGACCCTTATGTTCCAGATACGTTTTTACATATGCTTTGATGGATCTTGACCAAACGTGGCACACATATCCATCATTATCCTGAATCAAATAAAGTGGCTTTTTAAACGTTTAAAAATGTTCCGTTTTGGGCCGAGGCCCTCAATTCGTTTTCTTTTTCTTATATGAGGCTTATAACTCAAATTACCAACAAATATTCCTGCATGAATATCCATCATTATCCTGAATCAAATAAAGTGGCTTTTTAAACTTTTAAAAATGTTCCGTTTTGGGCCGAGGCCCTCAATTCGTTTTCTTTTTCTTATATGAGGCTTATAACTCAAATTACCAACAAATATTCCTGCATGAATATCCATCATTATCCTGAATCAAATAAAGTGGCTTTTTAAACTTTTAAAAATGTTCCGTTTTGGGCCGAGGCCCTCAATTCGTTTTCTTTTTCTTATATGAGGCTTATAACTCAAATTACCAACAAATATTCCTGCATGAATATCCATCATTATCCTGAATCAAATAAAGTGGCTTTTTAAACTTTTAAAAATGTTCCGTTTTGGGCCGAGGCCCTCAATTCGTTTTCTTTTTCTTATATGAGGCTTATAACTCAAATTACCAACAAATATTCCTGCATGATTGAATGGATCTTGACCGAACTTAGTGCACATAAACTTAGATCTAGGCCTATCTTGATAGCACTACCCTTCATAGTCAGTTTTGAAACATCGGTGGAATTAACGCCGCTAACAACATCCAATCTATTCAGGGCCAGTCTAAAATTTTCCAAAAAGTCTGATCATTTAGAAGGCTAAATCTATAGCATTTTTAAACTGTTTTAATGGGCTAACTTTTAAATTTTAACTCCATTATTTATCTGTATGATTTTTAAAGGCTCCAACTATCTGAGGCATAACTAAAGCGATATCTTATGGAATGGGCCCCCACCGGGCCCCTATATTAACTTCAATGAAAATAGTTATAGTTAGGGCACTTAGTTGTAGAATTGTTCCGTTCGAAATATAATAATTGCCTAGAAAAGTCATTTTAACACATTTCTCATGTAATCTAGAATGTTCCAGTAAGTTCTATATTTTCCACGGGTGAGATTGAAAAGCTTATTGAAATATTAGTTAAGTTACTGGATGGCCGAATGGTCTAAACTGAGCAAACCTCAAGTTGGTGGTCTGGAGTTGACAAAGCCCATTGACAAATTCTGAGGATTTTGCAATATAGATAAATTTATCTTCATTCTTATCAAATTCAAACTTTTAACTACTAGAGTTAATATATTGTAATGTATACATACTAGATATAGCACACCAAACAATGGCGACAGCAATGCGTGAACTTCCCATCTACTAAAATTACTTGACAAAACATAAACTCAAGTAACTTAGGAATCCCAATTTTTGCTACACATCTTCCCCATAATACTTCACTGAATACACGTATCTATCTATGTGTATACCTATGTACATGTAAAGTTTTACTTACATTCACAGTATTAATATGTGTAAATAAATACAAACCTTAAATTTAATTGTAAAGTATATATAGGTTGTTGAATGAATGTGTGTGTCGGTAGGTAGGTAGGTGATTACAGAAATATTAGATAGATATGTTTATACTTGTATACATTGGTTTCACTTACATCCACAGTATTAATAAGTGTAACTATATAACAACCTTAAATTAAACCTCTTTTCTGTGCTTGGGTGTAACATTCTGTTATGAAAAAAAAAAATTCTTAATTATCAATTTTTACAGAAACCCTTAGGTAAAAAGACCAGAAATATGAATAAATTGAAAATTTTACCACCAATTAAAAATGGACCAACAGGTGAAGCTTACGTGTCGTGTGAAACGTTTAGAATAAGTGATAAGCCTCGTAAGTACTGTGTTAATTGGCCAACATTTTGTTTTTCTCTGACCCCCTCACTAAATCGGTTGTATTTAATACAGCCAATCTTTCTGTACCCTCTTCTTTTTAGCTAACGTAAATTCTATACATATGAAATAGCGTATACTTGAATTAATAGTTTTATTTTCTAAGTAAGAAAAAACTTATTTTTATTATTTAAGGATTCTTTTGTATTATAATATCGTCTTTCTGTATTAAAACATTCAAAACAAACTCTTCTAGAAAAGATAAATTACATCCCAACCATGGGCGCCCGCAGAAAACTTTCTAGGGGGGGAGGGAGAGCAAAAAAATCGATTAACTTTCCAGGGGGGGGGGCAAAAAATTTTTAGTCATGTTTTAATATAGTTTTAATTTAATGTAGCGTATTTGAATGGTGAACAAACGGACAGGACATCAGCTTAGTTACTTTCTCTTTATTTTCTCTTTACTTTAATACATTTTGTGTCTATTTTTGTCTAAAAAAAAATGTTATCCAATCAATACGGGGGGGGGGGGCAAGTGGGGGGGGGTGCAAGTGACCCCCTTGCCCCTACCTGCGGGCGCCCATGATCCCAACCAGCTGTTGTTATTTACGGAAATATTTTTAAATTTACAAGGGGCGCTGTATACACTAATAAGGTATTTTCTAAAAGAAATCCTCAATAACAATAATGACAGCAAAGTGCCCATTAATTTATTTCATATTCTTTATTAAAATTGACCTTAACAAATCAAAGAACACGCTTTATTTTCTTTCATTCTGCTGAAAATAATGTGTACAGCCAACTATGCAGCGAAGAATTAAAGTTAGTTGTAAGGATGACTGGTTACTGGCCTTTAATTTATATTGCTAAAACATCATATTTGCCTAGCTGGCTAGTTGCAATGTTTCTTTAAAAAAATGGCTTTCTTTAATGTCTCGTAAATACAGTGTGACAAAGTTGGTACATACAATTAAAAGGTACAGTAAGGCGTCAATTATCCAGACGGAGAAAAGCCAGAGGGTCGAAAATAATGATCCCTCAATATGAATTGTTTTATTTAATTTATACACACACACGCACACACACGCGCACGCACGTACGTATGTAGGTATGTAGGTATGTATGTATGTATGTATATATAAATATATATATATAAATATATATATATATATATATAAATAAATATATATATATATATATATATGTATGTATAAGTATGTATATGTATATATGTACACATATATGTATATATATGTATTTATATATGTATATGTGTATGTGTATATATTATATATATATATATATATATATGTATATATATATATGTATATATATATATATATATATATATATATATATATATATTTATATATATATATATGTATGTGTATATATGTGTGTATATGTGTATATATATATATATATATATATATATATATATATATATATATATATATATATATATATATATATATATATATATGAGGAGTGGTACGAGAATCGCAATGGTCTAAAAGAGATAATCCGTGGCCTCATTATTTACATACGAATTAGAAAAGCCGTACGACGCGATATTCAAAGGAAGTCAACCACAATTAGTCTGGTCTGGATTATCCCATTGTTAATGTATTTCATTTTATTCAGTTGCGTGATAACTAATCAAACAATGGCACAATGTGTTCAAAATATGAAAGGGCTAGTAGGTAGTTTGATTAAATAATTTACCAAGTAATTAGAAAAAAGAACTAATTTTTAAGTAACGCTTTTTATAATTTTTTTTTATAGTCATATTGATTTAAGCACTTATAATTTGCTTCAAACATTGCGTTTGTTCTGTAGTGAGGAGCTTCGTACAAAATTTCATATCGTTAAGGGAAAATTGTTGTCTGTAATCGGCTAAAGGAATTGAATAACTAAGTCTCCTTGAAAACTTAATAGATCGAATCTTTATTAACCTAGCTTCAAGGCTATTCACCAGACAGGGCTGTCCAACATTTGTGACTCCATGGTTCCCTAAAAAGAGTTTGTTATTTGTTTTTAAATTTGGATTTTGTGAATAAATTGTTTAAATAGTTTAATGTTAGCCACGCATGTCTGATATGTCAGAATTCTGTAATTGGCTTAAGACAATGTATGTACAGAGGCATTACAAGTCTGTGCATGCAGGCTTTGAAAAACTTAATCAAATTGGAACAGAGGTTTGAGAAAACAAACTTTCTTTTTTATCCCGACCACTGCTTTAAAGAAATTGCTCCTTCTTTATTGGCCAAATCTAAAAACAAAGATGAAATCAAGCAAGTATCAAGTATTAAACTTTGTCAGCTAACAAATTGAAATTTCTTTAAACTATCTGTACCCAAAGTTGTATTTGAGAAACCGACTTGTGATTTGAAAAGTTCACCTGGTTCTAGTCTTACATTTATTTATAACGATTGCAGCCATTTATGTCCCAACCAATGCAAGACTGAAAGTTGGTCTGAATGTCTGCTAGGAAGGGGGAAACTATTTGCCCTCTATCCTACACTGAGAATACATTTATTGTTTAAAGCTGAATATAATATTAATGTAATATTATATCTAAGTATTATTATTTTTAAAAATTAATATTTAATAACCCTAATCTTATATTTTTCCTCATACTAATGTTCTTCTTCTTCTTCTATATCTTAAGGGCCCACGATCAATTTATTGATCATTTTGGCTCCTATGCATGTAGATGGGATTTGCAATGTTTCTGTTACTGGTGGTGATGAGGAAATTATGCACTAGGGGTTTGAAGGCTTGATATAGACACAAATGTGTCTAGTGTTGTCGCCTCAACTGTTCCTTTTGAAAGATGGTTCCAGTCCCTGATTGTCTTGGGCAGGAATGAGCAGCTCCTATACTGGCTTCTTGCTGGTATGAGCCTGAATTGCCTGTCATGGCCTCGTCGCTGTCTATGTTTGTTGACTGAGCAAATGTAGATAACTTGCAAGAGTCTGAAATTATTTGAAGAAAACAATTTTCATAATAAATTATGACCACAAAATAAAAATTGAATCCACGGACTCACATTCAAGGTGAATTACCTAAATAAAAGCAACTTGTTCAAGGATTATGTTGTATTTAGTTGATTTCAAATCCCGAGGCTCTGATAAATTAATCATCAATCAGATTGGTAAATTATGATGCATGAAAGCGGGTCTCTACGTGGGTAGGAAAAAAAGAATTTGAAAACCAAAAATAATATATTTTGTAGCTAGCTGGTTTCCTATCTATAGGTATCTCACATTAAAACCAGTATGGCATTAAGTTTAAGAGAATACCTCTATATCATCTTATATTTATCGCAGCAAAAGCAAAGTCTTCAAAAGCTGTAAAGTGTGACAACTTTTTTTGGTCATTTCTTTTTAGAGCAGTTAATTTTTTTTTAAACATCTTATTGTTCGGCCAATTTTCACAATCCAACCAGTCGCACGTAGCCTGGGCTTGTCGTAAACTCTAACAATAATTTTCAAAGATAAATACAGTTTTAACAGCGCTTTGGAAAGTGATTTGCTTTGTACCGTATTACACATGGACCCTGATATTATAATCATCCCATCATTTAATGGACATCATTTCAAAATTTTATTAAATGACTTTTAAATTCATATTTAATTTCATCATGCAACAAGACTTTGACTACATAAATGAATGATATAATGGCTAATGTTCTAAATTAAATACATAATATGATCTTATTAATATTAAATTACATTTAAAACTTTAACAAAATCCTACATAGACATTTTTTGAGTTTATATTCTTCAACATTGTACAACGTCACTGAAAATTATCTATTGCGGTGGATTTCATTTTTTTAAAAATAAACACCAGTGGAATAAAACGTTATGTTTTCATCAGTACATTTCTTTGGCATAAACAGGATAAATTGATATCTGTATGAAAATTGTAACCAACTAGGACATGGCATTTAAAATATGTCAACATAGTTTAAACATTGAACGCGTGTACATTAGTTTGAAATCCCAATAACTTCTTGTTTTTTAGTATTCATATTCCTTTCTTTTAACTATAGTGTATTACATGGGACCTCCCACCGATGTGCATACCCCTCAAGATTCGGGTTTTTTCTCTGAGAATTCAGCTCAACAGAACAGAAGACCTTTGACAACCCATTCGTCAAGCTATAGGCACTGGGTAAATTTGGTTAATATAATTAATAAACTTAACTCTGACGAAAACCAGGTAGACATTTTTTCCACAGGGCTAGAAGACGGGTACGTAGACCTACTAAAAATTAGCTTAGCTATTTTGTCAGTCTGGGTGTTCCTTCGGATGGTGGGCATCCCGTAAAATGACGAAATCAATGCACATCAAACAAACGTATGCTTCCTACTCATCCTGGGGGTATGGGTTGCAATCGCCACATGTAGGGTTACTTATTTAAAATGATTTTTAAAAATCAATATTCCCGTAATTCCCAGATAATCCAAAGACTTCCCAATAATTTGTAAAGAAATTTTTGTTTGAAAAGGTGAATTACTACAGGCCAAGGTAACTTGTATGCAACGCGATGGGGCGCTAGAAGTGATGTGTTTCACTGTCATTTTATAAATTGAGTTGAGATTCTTACAATATTTACATGTATTATCCCCCCAAAAAAATGTTTCATTGTCTATCTATTTATAGAATACACAACAACAGATGGATTTCGTGCGACCTGAATCAAATGCGACAGACTTTCAGCTTAGAAATGAGCGGCTGACTGTGGAGAATGAACACTTACGGCAAAGGAAACAAGAGCTTGTACATGATCAAATGCTGTGGCGTCATGATAAACAAGACTTTGAAAATAGAATAGTTAGGGTTAACGACGAAATTTTAAATCTAAAGAGTAATCATAGGAGAGATATTGATGACCTTCAAAAACAGAAAATTATTGAAATACAAGATTTAAAGATAAAATGCAGAATGGAGAATAGGCTACAAATGGAGCAGAAAATTGAGGATTTAAGGGGGGGAAAGGATGACGAACTGATGACTGAAAGAACTGAACGTACCAGAGTGGAAACTAAATATCAAATCCTTCTCTCTTCAAATGAAGAATTCAAAAAACTTTACGAAGGAGCAGTCGCGAAAGAGCAGGCGACTAGAGACTTATTGCATCAAAGAGATTCAGAAAACGCAGAAAAGCTAGAGATAAAAAGCAAAGAACTTGAAGGAGCTAGAGTAGAGATCATCAAGCTAAAACATGATGCTGAAATTGCTGCCAGAGACTACGACGCCTCAAATAGGGAAATGATATTGAAACATGCCAGTGAGATGAAGGATCTTAAACACGATTGTGAAAAAAATATGGCAATGCAGAAGGAAGAATCATTACAGAGAGAAAACACAAGACTAATAGATGAAATAGAAATCCGTGCTGAAAGAACAACTTCAAAAATTTGCTCTATATCATAAACATGTTTTAGCAATAGAGATGAGGTGGCTTGCTATATTAATTTTTTTGATAAAACTAATTCATTTTTTGTTAGATTCCATTCATGTGATTACTTTACAACCGTCACATTTTCTTTTTATTAAAAAATGAGAGCCAAATGAGAGAGAAATTTAGACATTTCTTTTAAAATATAAATAGGAAAACTATGCCTATCTTTCTTTTTTTTTTTTTTTTTTTTTTTTTTGTTTTTTTTTTTTTTTTTTTTTTTTTTTTTTTTTTTGTTGGCTTCTTTCATTTTTTTAATTATTATTTATGAAGAGGCTTGAGACACAGGACTTTATACTAATGAGAACATTTAAGCGTTCCTTTCCAGTTTTAAAAAAAGCTGAACATTTAAATTAAAAAAGCTTTTTTTTTTTTTTTAAACATTGTTTTATTTTGTACTTTTTAGTTAAATTTAAAGTCTTAAAAATTTCAGTTCCATTGGAGATCAGGTCGTTGTCAAAACTGAGAAGCAAGATTCGATCCACAGAGGTCACTCAAGAGTTATTGGTGACCTACTGATCGTGGAGGGATATTTTCCAAGGGGGGATGGGGTTCGGGGGGTTATGGGGGGGGGGTGGGGTTAAGTGTCCCTTTTAGGCATCAAATTCCATTTTTGTTCAAATGAAGTAGGACTACCCCCAAGTACCAACTGAGGGCGGGATGATAATTCTACAAGGTTTTAGATCAATTAGACATCAGGAGGTGGGTCCAAATTAAGATGCAAGATTTGAAACGCAGAGGTGACCAACAGATCATGAAAGATTGTATTGTCATCTGGGATTGGGGGGGGGGGGGGGA